CTCCCAATCACGGCTGGGCTGATGAAACCCACTCAGTGATCTTGGGCAAGTCACACTCTCTCAGCCTCAGGCGATTGCGCATGTCCTCCTCCTGGTGTCCCCCTTCCTGTGTCACAATAACCTTCCTGCCCCCAGGGTCACAATGGCCTTCCCTGACCTCCCACCGGCGCCTCTTCCCTCCTCCATTTTTCCCCCTCGCCTCCTCACCTGCCCGACCTGGTCCCTCGCCGCTCTTGTCGCCTTTGGCTTTAAGATCCTCTGAGGGGAAGCACGAGCAGCAGCAGTGCGCAGGCGCAAGCACATTCGCGCCTCTTTTAGAGACTTCCGCCCCTGGGGCTGCTTCGACTTCCTGTCGTACCATCACTAGCCTCAGTGCGCAGGCGCAATAGGGACTCCCGAGCTTTTTTTTTTAAAGAGGCTTCCGCCGCTGCTCCTTCTGGCCCTCACTATCACCAGCCTCAGTGCGCAGGCGCTCCTCTTCGGATAGGTTCCAGTTCGCAGCTACTTCCTCCTGCGACAGTGGCATCAGTGCGCAGGCGCGGACTTTCCCACCATTTTGAGAACTTCCCTGACAGAGAAGGGGCGGGGCTTGATTGGGAGAGCTTTGCTTTTCTTTTTCAAACTTTATTATTTAGCCAGCAATACCATACAAATTAATTATTATTATTATTATTATTATTATTATTAATTTATTATGAATAATAAACACACCTTCCACACAAACTAAGATATAACCTATGACACATCTATTGATATGAATTAACATATTAAAGAAATAGATTATAAAATGAAACATTACACATACAATACACATACTGTCTTTTATTCTTCGGATCTTCTTTCTTCATTTTTCTACTTTAATCCTTTCCATATTAACATATATTACTATATTATATTTCTTATTACTGCCTTAAACAGCTTTTTAAAAAAAGGCCGTTAAGAGTTAATTCATTAATTCATTTTTCTCTCCCAAACTCAGCCACGGTTCTCTGATTTATTATTATTATTATTATTATTATTATTATTATTATTAAAGTTTATTTCTAAAGTGCTGTCAATGTACACAGCGCTGCACAAAGAGATAATCAAAGTATAATAATAATACTACTAATAATAATTTATATAAGTAAAAACCTGCCAAAGGCGTACAATCTAAAAATACAAAAACAATAGGTAAAATTTAAAAAAAAATTAAAAGCATGGAACAATTTAAAGACAAAACAGAGAAACATTTAAGTATGTTTTTAAATACTTTTATTGTTTAATTCTATTTTAAAATCATCCATCTCAATCGCGGCGTATAATTTTTTTTAACCATTCTTTTATACTTGAAATATTTTTAGATGTCCATTTTTGTACCAATGTCATTTTTGCTGTAGTCACTAAGTAAAAAAGAATTTTACCAAACCCTTTCTCCAAGTTCTTCTCCCACATATTAAGCAAATAAAATTCTGGGCAAATTAGGATCTTTGTCAGAAGGATAAATACTTATTTGTTTGATATTTGTTTGAAGATCTTTGAATTTTTTATATTGATCTACTTGTGTAAATCTTTCTGTTTGTAATCCTATAATATTACTGTTGAAATGTTGTTTTATTAAATTGTGTAAATAAATCAGTGTATTTATTAGATATTTGTTGTCATTTATTTCTTGTAAGCGCTCTTTTACACCTCATCCTTCCATCTCATATATGAAATTACATATATATCTGTACATGTTAGTTGTTTATTGTTAATCTCTATTATTGATATCGTTTCAATCTGTAAATTTTCCTCATATATTTTAATTAGTTGCGTTTTTACCTTTCCATGAAATAATAATCTAGATGTATTGTGTTTAGAAACTAATCGTTGCTATCCTTCCCCATTTAATTCTAAAATAATTGAGGATTGGGGCCCATTTTTCCAACCCTTCTTCAATACATATGTCTCTTAAATAATATGTTAATACATCCATTTCTATTGCCTCATATAATTTCAACAACCATTCGTTTATGCTTGAGATTAATTTCAGTTTCCATTTCTGCATTAGGGTTATTCTAGCTGTGGAAATCAAATAGAATAGAATCCTCTGATGGAAGATACCATCTAAAATATAACTTATAATAGTTCTCTCTGAGATTCTGAGATAGCATGTATTTTATTCCTTTTACTTCTTTGTCCACTTTTAAATCCGAGTTCAGGGAGGCATTCCCAAGCACTATCCAATACACATTTACTTTTTCTGTCATTTGGGTAGACAGTGGATGTTGCTAATTAATTGTTGCAATTGTCTTTTGCTTTAATTGACTTTTATTATTTTACCTATTGTTTTATATTTTTAGATTGTACACCTTTGGCAGGTTTTTATTCTATTTTATGCTTGTCTTTTTGTACAGCGCTGGGTACATTGACTGCGCTATAGAAATAAACTATAATAATAATAATAATAATAATAATAATAATAATAATTTTACCCACGTATGTTCCCAGCTGGACAATTCTATTGGGTGTCCAACATTTTTAGCCCATAATATATTTTCTTTCACGACCTTGTCTTCTAATTCCCAATTTAAAAGTATTGCAGCAAAGTTCCGAATCCATTTTTCCTTGTCAGTTACGATTACTTTATCCAATTCATTTTTATTCTCCCTAAATGCATACAATTTACTATCTATTCCAGGGGTAGGCAACCTAAGGCCCGGGTTCTGGATGCGGCCCCCCAAGGCCTTTGGACTGACCCTAGGCCGGTCCGGCCGCCGCTGCTTGTCCCCATCGCCGCCGCCCCCTGCCATGATGATATTGATTATTGTTGTTATT